CGAATGGTCCTCTCAGTAGGACTCAGTATGGCGACCGTAAAATGGGCGAAGCGCGCGGTACGTTGCCCGCATGGTACGTTGTACTTGTTGTTGAATGATATATCCGTCCATGATGACTTGGCAAAAAAGACTGAATAAATGACATTTAATTTGACAGATGTAGCTTCAACAAGATGGCCGTTATCAATTGTCAAGTTCGGAAGTCCCTGTATAACTTCACTATAACTACACTCAATTTTCATTTCCTCATTGGCATAATGAACTAATATTTCTGTTTAAGATTTTCTGTTCATCATCGGAAGACTCCCTGATGTGGCTAGAAAGTAACACAACTCTCACTCCAAAACTCACCAATTTCGTCCAACCGGTGTTAGGCGGGATCACAAATAACAATGGAACTGTATATGTAGGAAGATATTTCGCTGATGGTCGCACATACGTTGGAAGTATACATAGTGATAATTACTTATATTATACAAAACCTACTGGAGAAGGAGCATACATTAGCAAATACGAAATATTGATTCACCAACTTGAAATCGGCTCAAGCTGCTGATAACCGACAGTTTTGGATCACATGACCTCATCGAGAAAAATGTGTTTAGAGCACAAATTGATGATTGTTATATCACACATTCCTCACTCATTGGTCAACATAATTGATTATATCAATGTTCATTCAATTTCATTCATGTCTACAATCGATAAGGTTTTAAACATTTCCATATATTGTAATTTTGATATCAGAATCATGTACATATTTATTTCATTGTCAATCAATAAATGATGTCACAAATCGGCTGGTTTTCATTTTTGAAGATTTTTCAAACGAATTCATTCAAAAAGGAAGTTTCCTACTTATAAGAACACAGTATAGCTAGAACTACTCAAATAGGTATTACTCATGTATGACTGATGCAAAATGCACATAAGACAAGTGCAATAGAGTAATATAGCTACAAGAGTTCTGGCTCATTTCTTATGGAAAAACACGTACAAATTTAAGGAGGTCCATTTTGAACCTCTTTGGGCCCCAGGCCTAGTTCACACGGAAGGGACAAAGGTCCGCGCCTCCTCTCTGCCAGACGTCCATTCTGTGTCAATTAGGCCTTAGACTTTCAGAGCTCACTCCTCCACTTTTGCCGTCATACAGTCTGAAGCTATCGCGCGTATAGCGGGAAATTCAAATCCAGTAGAGGAGCAAGCTTGCTTATCTTCTGATTGGTCGATTGTATGACGGCAAAAGTGGACAAGTGGACTCTGAAAGTCTAAGGCCCAATTCACACAGAGTGGACGTCTGCCAGAGACGAGGCGCGGACCTTTGTCCCTTCCGTGTGAACTGGGCCTAAGGTCCAAAAAGGTTCAGAAGGGATCCGCTCAAATTTGTAAGGTTTTATATGAGAAATGAGCCAGAACTCTTGCAGCTATATAACTCAATAGTCCGTGAATGACTGATGTTATCGTCCACACAAATCCAGTCACTGTCAAGAATACAAAAGTAAGACCAGAGGAAGAGCAGCGACCTAAACTAAGGACTGCAGCCCCCGAAAAGTGCATCCAAGCTCCAAGTTTCGAGAGTCCTAGCTGGAGCCCTAGCATAATTTAAAGACGAACAGAAGACAATGGCCCAACATGTTGTTGACTACATGGACCTAAAAACAGTCAATAACAGTACGACATACTCCGGAAAATCCACCGGAGATTATTCTGCATGACAAAAAAAGAAAATGATGTGGAAAGGATATCGAAACCCATCTCCAATACACGAAGAACGGGGTGTCATCTTCATTAATCAGGAGAAAGTCGAAGCATTTGCTGACCCTTTGGAAAGACAATGTGAAGAAAATAATGTCCTTATTATTGACGAGGTAGAAAATATCTTGCATCATGTCGAAGAGGAAATAGACGACAGCCAAGGAACAACCCCTGAACCCTACATTTTCGGAGGAAGTCCGAAAGTACAAAGGAAGGAAGTACAAAGTTCTTAATTTGAAACTGAGAACTTGTCAAGAATTCAATTATTGGTTCTCGGAATTTGCAACTTCTTCAAAAAACTTCATATGAGTTGTGAATTACAAAACAATAATTCAGCTACAAGTAATCCTTATACTAACTCACAAGGTCAATATCAGTTCTTTTTGTTAAGAATAACTCGTGTTTATAAGCCTTTGGAAGTTGTAAGACATGGATAAACCTTAATGGAAATTTCGGGAATCAACAGTGATACAGAAGAAGAATAAGAATTTTTTTTAAAGACAGAACACAAGCACTACAGGAAAATCCTTGAGGCATTCCTCTTGAAGCAGTGCCTGTGCGAAAGTAGTAATTCAGATTGGATTTGAATCGCTGGTTGAATCCATTTGGAAAAACGTTCTACATAAAAGCCGTTTTCCAGATGGAAGAGTTCTCAACAGTGAAGTTCGAGATGAACTGAGTTGAACATCAAAACGATGAGCAGTCACAGTCCGTCGTGTATTTTTGTACCGTTCTTGGTGGAATCAAATGTGCCAAGTCACTTGAACACTTTCTGTGAAAGTATCTATAGAAGAGATACAAATCTCCAACCTTTCTTCGATGTTCCAGAGTATCAAGGTTGCAAGTAATGTTCGCGTCTCCAATCAGGCGGATGGCTCTTTTCTGAATGAAATCCAGTAGCTTCAGGATATGCTTAGGGGCGGAACTATATACATGTGAACAATACTCCCTAGAAGGTCTAATCTGAGCTTTATGAAGTAGCAAAAGTCGTGTTTACAGTTTTCTGGTTTGGAATAGTGTTCCAAGCTTTTGAGAAGCGGCTTTTGCAATTCCAGTGACATGATTGTGCCAAGACATATGGTGTCCATTTCAACCCCCAACAAACTCATCAAAGCAGACAGTGGAATTGTCTGACCTGACTCGATTATATCTGGTTCGGAGTTTCACCACAACTCGGAATCACTTCTAGATCCTCATTAAGATATGCAACCTCCTGCTGCCGGTGAAGATGTGTATCCGCAGCCGATGTTCTGAAATCCAAATTAAATGAAGAGACAAGTGTGCTGTCGTAAGTCTTTAATATACAAAATATACAATAGAAAGAGGATTTGAGCGTTGATAGAAAAAGTATTCGAGAGATATTCGTCGACGGCCACTTGCAGGGAAGTTCTTTCAGGAAGCTGAAGAGCCATACACAAAAATGATCCGACAATCCATAGTTAGTTGTGAAAGGTGTCGGTGGATGTCGAGACGGTAATTGTTGAGTTGGAGATTGTTGAATTTGTGATGCTGTTTGTAGGGTCATTTGGAAATTAATTGATATTATTTTCTATTGCATTCATCGTTGAATTCATGAACGAATCTGGATACGCGAATTATATCGCTCGTTTCCATGTGAACCGCTGACCATGCTGAAGCAGAATCTCGCGATTCTGGGAAACTGATGTGCAAGCAATCTTATCTTCATGGGAAGAATACTTTTGTAATTCAGTTATAATTCTGCTCTCATACTGTGAACATCAATTTTTGTGAATAAAATTAATTTTTTAATAAGGACTTTGACAACCAAAAGTTATATTTGGCGCANATAAAGTTCATCAGTGTCATCAATGTAATCTCACAATGCAGACCTCAATCAACTTTATAGTGCTCTGTTTTTTTTTCTCATCGGTTTTCTGTGCAAATGGTAAGGCATATACATTATATGTTTATTGAAAGAAAGTCGATTATTGTTTTCCACAAATTTTATGAGAACTGAATTTGAATGTTAAAACGTTGTTTTTGAAAAAAATCAGTTTCCATAATCTACATTACAAATTGTTTATTTTTGAGTCTTCTTAAATGTCCTCAATACGTGAAATGTTAGTATTGTGTAAATTGTGAAGTACTATTTCCACCCTACACATTCAATTAAAATGAATTCACACATATCAAAGCCGAAACTGAAGCAGTACTATTTTTTTGCGAGTGAGTTTGAATAAATTGTGGGTTCTCTAGAACATTTAAAGTTTCTTTGTTCTTCTTCTAAACAATCCTGTTTTGAATTTAAGGGGTTATATTTTTTAGTGTGTATTTTCTATAATGTTATCCAATTTGGTACTGAAGAGCCTTAGGGCAAGTGTCTTAAGGCGAAACATCGGTGTATACCAGTGAGGATGGCAGTGTTCTATGTAAGTGCAATTTGTNATAAAGACAATTTATTATACCTTTTTCACCCCCACATGATGATTTGATGTGTAGTGGAGATATCTATTAGTATGTGTTTTTTTCCGATAAACATTTGTGTCAAATTGATCTGATAGCCTCTCCACCAATACATCAAAGAAAGGGTGTTGTTAAATCTCGATTGTAAACTTCATTGTCTCTTTCTGTTCGTTGAAATAAATGAAAAAAAAACTCACCCTCATATTTTCCATTCCTAATGGCAAAGATATGATCCGTGATATGAATAAGTGGATTTGCGTTATGCATACATAATTGAAAGGAAAACTGAATTGCAAAATGTGACCCGATCCGAATCATATCTTTAATTATGGGGTTAATGTGCCTGTCTAGCTACAAAACTGTCATGAATGAATGATCTCTAAATCGAATGAAAATCAAGTTACATAACTAACAAATATAGGTTAGGTAACTGTTTAATCTGTTTAAAATCTGTTTTTCCATTAATCAGCTGTTTTCTAGGTTAGGTAACTTCATGATAACACAGCAAAGAAGTTCAAAGAACATAAATATCTCACTATACTAAGTTATGTATGTATTGATGACAGTCTGTCGGAATATGTTTCCACTTTTCACATTCATAACTACTAGTTTGAGACACTGAAGAAAAATATTTGAATCATTATTAGGAAAATAATTACTTAACATTTATTTGTTATTACACGAGACACTTATATCGTGGCAACTATCCCCTTATCAAAACCCTTTATTCTAAAAGATTTTGCAACTATTCGAAGAAACAGAAATAATCAATTTTCCTGAAAAACCCACTTCATGGACTCTCGTATAAATATATATTTATACATAAAGTTCATCAGTGCCATCAATGTAATCTCACAATGCAGACCTCAATCAACTTTATAGTGCTCTGTGTTTTTTTCTCATCGGTTTTCTGTGCAAATGGTAAGGCATATACCTACATTATATGTTTATTGACAGAAAGTCATACATGTATAGAGTTACTCCTTCCTTTCTTCGGAAGACTCCCTCATCCTTCTTTTTTTTTGTATCAAGATGGAGTAGTAGAAAGCCAAAAACTTTCTTTCCCAAAAATCCTGTTTTGTTTATCATTTTAATGAACCTGATAATGTCAACATCTGAGAAATAATATCATTTTCTTATGAATCAATGAATCATAAGAGTTCGTGTCACTTTTTTCCATCATTCCTGAAATGATCTCATGTCTCATTTCAGGATATTACTGGAGAGATTGGAATGGCACAGTCCCATCCGATGCGTATGTTGTGGTAAATGATAGCAGAGGGCCTGTATATTTTGCACAAGCTTATGTATACAACATAGGATTATTTGTGGGGAACATCGAAAAGAACCAACACTCCATTACAGTGAATCCTTCGACAGACATACGTTTAGTTAAATCCAGCAATGTGTTGAAAGTATGTACAAACTCAAGTAACACAATTCATTACAAACTCAGGTAGACACGAAACATCAAATGACCAATGAAGAAAAGAGAATTGAAACTTTCTATGTTTTTGTTTGTAACTAACGTTACTGCAGTTTCGTCCTAGGGTGTTTTTATAGAGGTATAGAACTTTAAGTTGGCATTACTTTTCAAGATGGCAACCGATTTAACAGCTGTCAAGTGATTTATTCTTAGTTTGGTTTGGCAATTCATCATGAATAGACTCACGCCTGAACAACGCTTGCAAATAGTGCAATTTTATTTCGAAAATAATGGTTCTGTGCGGAAAACGTATCGCGCACTACGTCCATTTTATCGTCGACAAAATCGTCCATCAGAGCAGTTAATTCGATTAACCATGGAACGTTTTCGCACCACGTTTACTCTTATTGATAACTCGCATCCCCAGAGACGCCGTACGGTGCGTACAGAAGAAGCTCTTGCTGCTGTACAGCGTAGCATTGAGGAAGACCCGGAGGAGTCCATCCGCCATCGAGCACAGGAATTGGATCTGTGTCCATCCACTTTATGGAAGATTTTGCGGAAGGATCTTGGTTTGCGTGCTTACAAAATCCAACTCGTGCAAGAATTGAAGCCAAACGATCATCAAGTAAGGCGTAGATTCGTCGAATGGGCCCAAAACGAGATTACCGTTGTTCCCAATTTTCATAAGCAAATTTTGTTTAGCGATGAAGCGCACTTCTGGTTGAATGGCTACGTCAACAAACAAAACTGTCGCATTTGGAGTAAAGGTAATCCTCAAGTGTATGTCAAAACACCGTTACATCCACAAAAACTGACTGTTTGGTGCGCTTTATGGGCTGGTGGAATCATTGGTCCGTACTTTCTCAAAAACGATGGTGGCCAGAACGTTACAGTCAATGGTGATCGGTATAGAGCCATGATTACTAACTTTTTCATTCCTGAATTGAATAACCATGATGTCCAGGAGATGTGGTTTCAACAAGACGGTGCAACATGCCACACAGCTCGTGCCACAATAGATTTATTGAAAGACACGTTTGGTGACCGCCTAATTTCACGTTTTGGACCTGTGAATTGGCCTCCAAGATCTTGTGATTTAACACCGCTAGACTACTTTCTGTGGGGCTATGTAAAGTCATTGGTCTATGCGGATAAGCCACAAACGCTTGACCATTTGGAAGACAACATTCGCCGTGTTATTGCCGATATACGGCCACAAATGTTGGAAAAAGTCATCGAAAATTGGACGTCCAGATTGGACTACATCCGCGCCAGCCGTGGCGGTCATATGCCAGAAATCATATTTAAAATGTAATGCCACAAGATTATCTTTCGGATAAATGAAATTCATGTCAATCGAATAATCCATCGTTGTTTTATTGTTTATAACTTAAAGTTCTATACCTCTATAAAAAACACGCTTTATAAGCACATTTTCACATTAAAGCACATTAAGCACATTAAGCACATTTTATACATTAAATGTATAAGTTTGAGCAGGCTATGTTTCTGTCATCCGTGGGTTTCGTTATTCTGGAGGTAACAACCGGAATATGCCTGTCTAATAAATTCATCAAACAGTTAAATATTCGAAAGAATGGAGGTGGTCGAAGATTTTTTTAACCTTATCACTGTACCACACTCTCATTGATATTGTACTGAATGTATTTTTTTGTTTTAGATTTTCTGTTCATCATCAGAAGACTCACTCATGTGGATACAAAGTCATTCAGGTCTCATTTCAAAACTAACTAAATTCGTCCAACCGGTGTTAGGCGGGATCACAAATAACAATGGAACTGTATATGTAGGAAGATATTTACTTAATGGCCGTATGTACGTAGGAAGCATACACAGTGACTATTTCTTGTATTACACAAGATCTAGTATACAGGGCGGATTAGTTAGCCATTACGAAATATTGATTCAAGAATCTGAAATGAACTCAAATTGCGACGAGAAAGATGTCCCACCTGTTTGATTAGTATCCTCAATTTTGTGAATAATTTACTTTTTGATCCTTGTATCACAAATTGCTTAACATTGTATTCACAATCGTTAAACATTATTATAAACATATTCCAACTTGAACTCGGAAACCATGTGATATTTATTTCAATTTTCAATAAATAAATAATCAAAAAACTAGCTGAGTTTCACTTTTGAAGTATTTCATAGAGGCATAAAAATCTTTCATGTCATTTACAAATAGGTTGAAAAACAATGGCTCTAAATGAGAACCCTGTGGTACGCCCGATGAAACTGTGATTGAGGAAGATACTGAGTTACCATATTTTACAAATTGTACTCTGCCGGCTGGATAATTTTTAATCCATTTCAGAATGTTTTGTGTTGATAAATTGTGATTCAATGTCTCAATAGTCTAGACCATTGATACAATTCTGTTATCTGTAACTTGGTTTTTCCATATTTTATATCAAAGCCTTTATTTTCATCCAGGAAAAAATTTTTTAACAATTCAACGGAAACGGAATTTCCCGTCTATCTCAATATTTATAAACGAAGGAAATCAAACAGAATTCATCAGTGCTATCACTCTTATCATACTATGCAGACCTCTGTCAACTTTGTAGTATTTTGTGCTCTTTTCTCATCAGTAACATGTGGAAGCGGTAAATTATAACATTTTTTGTTTTCGTCCTCCAAAGTAGATTATTTTCATTATGCCAAAAGTTACGAAATGGTCTATTTTTTCAAATGTATGTATACGTAGTGATTCTCTATTCTGATTGCTCAAAATATGAAAGTCGTTTATGTTACCACCCCTTTTCAAAAGTTTTGCATGTACTTTCTCAATGGTCAGACGATGGCCATACTATCTTCCAGATCTCAGACCTCAGACCACCGCTATTGTGAACGTGGATTCGGTCCCAGCTCTGGGATGATTGGTTTCCACTGCGTATCATTTGAGGAATCGAAAGTTGAAAGGTAAGACCTTGGTAATCCTCAATCCTCATGAGTAAAAAAACTACACGGTGGCGCATTACCAGAAAAAAATTGATGGCATTCATAACTGAACTGGAAGTATGAAAAATTTTATGTAATTATGAATGAATTGGGCATTCCGAAACTTTTGGCATATATTGCATAATAAATGTGAGTTAATTGAAAAGAAGAAATTATCTATTTCGATTTCAGAGAGATATAATATTGTAAAGGTAATCAACTGTTTTCTGGGTCATGAAATCCATAAAGTTCGTCGTCTAATTTTCACAGTATTCCAGAGTTTCTCAGTTTTTTTGAATTACTATTTCAAATGGAAAGTCGTTGTTAGATAAGGGGCAGCTAACTTTTCTTTTTATTATTGCTTGTTGACTTCCATATGAATCATTCATTTCGAACTCTCAGCATTCATTGATCGTGAATAGTTTATACGTTTCTTGAGTTGATCATCCCAACTGATTCTAGGTTACTATTGGAGAGATTGGAACGGCACAATCCCCTCCGACGCATACGTTGTTGCAAATGATAGCAAAGGGCCAGTTTATTTTGCCCAAGCTTATCTATACAATACAGGATTATTCGTAGGAAATATCAAGAAGCAGCAATTTTCCATTCCACTCAACCCTACGACGAGCAATGGACCAGTGAAATATAGCAGCGTCTTGAAGGCAAGTGCACAAGAAATAGATTGTTTCTCTTCTTAATCTCTCATTCAAATCCTACTATTCAATCTATACTTATGAATGCCAAAGTCACTCACTTAAGTTACACATTCATCTCTGTTCCTCCATACTGGTGAGTCCAGGAAGCTTAAATTTGGTAAAGAGAGAGAACAGAGTTCTTATTGACGAAGCATATTAGGAAATAAATGTTGAAGAGTGTTTTTTTAAATATCCAAAAGATTTCGGTTGGTAGCCGGGCGGTTCGACGTGGGTGCTTTGTTCACTCTCTCAATCGACCGATGTGTGAGTCGGTGGTTCAAAGCCACAGGCTAAACGCTCGATTTTCACTTGTTGTCGTTCAACTCGTGTTAGGAATCAGACCTTGATAGGTAAGACCCTCTTTAGTCCCCAGGTCGCACAAGTTTTGACTTCTGAGGGTTGTCGTTCGTAGGAGTGCGACAGCTGGTTAACGAAAAAAACATATTTCAAACACAACAATACAACATATTTACAAAAGTAGAACAATCCTATACCAAAAGAGTAAATAGAATAGAATAGAATATAATAGACTATACTTTATTGTCTAAGAAAATACAATCTTATTGACGGGATATTGGGCAAATTTCGGATATGCGGCTGGTTACCTCGTTCACAGGCAGATGGGGCGATGACAAACCTGTTGTTTGTTGTCCACTTCAGCCTAGTTCGAGGAATGATACTCAGAAGGAATTCGATTTTCAATTATCGGAAATCATCGACTTTATGTTGATGATAGACAGTGCCGTGCACTGACGAGTGACCAAACAACCTGAAACCGGTCTGCAAGTGTGTTCCAATAATTGAAAATCTATTGCGGCAGTTGTATCGCCAACAGTATATGCAGGAATAACTTCAGTGAAGAATCCTGCACTGACATCTGTCGGATATGATCCAACGCCCTTCGTGGTATTAGCCAGTGGAGTAGTTGTTTTCTGTTAGGTATCAGTTCATTAACCCACAGTGTAAGGAGTTGAGACTGGCCTGAAGGAACTGTTCTTTTAGATAATTTGACACTATAATTGTCAAGTGCCTGGTTAATTTCTCTGTCTGTTTCACCAGCGCTTTGGTTGAGTTTGAATTTGTAGTGAAAAATGATCGAACGTCACTCAACAACATTATATGGTAATGAGCTTTAAAGAAGCACAAGTCGATGTGGTGTTATGACAGAGAAAATGTAGTTATACAGACGGGTCTGCTCTCTAGTACGAGTATTATTTCTGAATCAATTCTGTACTGTCTGAATGAAGCAGACAGGATAAAAATTCCATTTTTGGATATATAAATTCCGATAGCAACAAGGTCGAAGTAAAGGCATCCTGTTATATCTGTTGATATGCCTATCTGTGAATAAATAATAGGCACACGCATACAGTGTGTGTCTACCATTTACTTATACGAGTATATTTATTTCATTTTATTCTTCGTAAATATGTGGGGAAATCATAGGAGAAAGATCTCTATTGTGGCAATTTGTAATCTTTTTGCAATTGTATATTGATTAGTTCAATGTTGAGATTTTTTTTCAAAAACTAATGAAACTTCATTCAATTGTATGTACGCGAGGCGATCTAATATGAAAGAAAATGAAAATTAAAGAATTAACTGGGCATGTATAAAAAGATGAAAATTCAACATATACAAGGTTATTCAAATTCGGGTTCATGCACAGGGGTCTCGTACAGAAGATATATCACATGAACCACATGTCAGGTTGGAATATTCATTGAAGAAGAAAGTAATAAAAATCATGAAATTATGAAACAACAAAAATTAATTGGCGCTCCGGGTTCCAGTGGTGCATTTGCTTTTTCAGCTGCAGGAAAACCCACAGCACCACATCATCTAAAGATAATTATCTGCCAATGTACTATCTTTCATAAAACAAATGTAGGGTACCTGCAGAAGCTCCAATAAATTCAATACATCGCCAGAACAGTTAGTGACACGACTATCGTCAAACTTACACCAGTCTTGGTCTTGGTCTTTGACNGGCGGTACTGATGTCTGAGGACATTCATGCCGCCATACCATTTAACACCCATTCAGTTATGACCCGTTTGTCTTTCTGGCAAACATCAGTTAAAAGGGGAAGGGAGGCAGGCTTCAACCTGAAGAAAATCAAGATGGATTTCGGCGTCTCATTTTGTCTTCAATCAAGGACCGCCTGCCCGGTACTTACGATGCCTAATAGGCTAAAACAGCTGTCTACCGGTGGCTTTTAAATTGAAATCAATATGGAAATGATCAAAAAGTACTTATCTATTTATTTTTTGCTTTTCCCGGAATTATTGTCCAGCAGCTTGACTGCATTAACCTTTCTAGATTACAGTATGTTGTAGAACGTACTCCTTACATCGAATTAAACTAAAATTGAATTATGTGGCGTAGTTTGGTTATTTATTTTTTCCACTGGAGTGAGTGAATTTTCAATGGAGTGACGTGAGGCGAAATAGGTTATTTTTTTGAACAACTTGTTGAGCCCCGTATTTCTAGTTCTCTTACCTGTTTATTTATATACGAAACTACCGGTATCAAGAGGTTATATTGTTTATTTGTTTTCATTAAGCCATATAGTTTAGGGCAGGAGGAGTTCATTTTAGTCCTGCAGCCATGCCTTTGCTATTGTAAGCCTAAGAAGCTGAAATTTGGAATATAGGTGGTTTTTAGGTCTCAGATACACACTAAGAAGAGAATTACATATGAAAATTACCTTTTCATCACTGTTCCTCCGTATCGCTGTATTTTCGAAGGCTGAAATTTTGTATGTAGGTTCGTTTTATGTTGTAGATGTGCAACAAGAGAGAATTTTCAAATATTCCAACTGAAACGCCTCCCTGGGAATGGAAGGGGCGCATTTACATATGAAAATTACCTTTACATAACTGTTTCTGGTTATTTTTTTGGACAAGCTGTTGAGCCGTATTCCTGGTACTCTTGTCAGACTGTTTACAAAAGAAACTACCGGTTTCAAAGGGTTATCTTGTTTATGTGTTTCAGGCCATATAATTCAGGGCAGAAACAATTCATTTCAATCCTGCAACCTTGCCTTTTCAATTGTAAGGCATTCATTCTTTCTTCGAAGTATGTTATCAAACAATTGTTAGATTACAAGCAGGGATATCCAAGATTATTTGACAGGCTTGTTTGTTTATCACTGTCGTTTTGAGTTATTTTTTATAGAAACTTGAATTGTTTGAGAAAAGTGAGTGACAATTTTTTTGGGAAATGTTGAAACGATAGAGCGACTCACTCTTTCAAAATTTGATAGAGTAGTTTGGGTAGTTGTGTGTTACAATAAACCTTCAAGAATCGCCCAGGAAGGTCAAATAGATCCAACTCACTTTGGACCCAACCCTAGTCTTACCCTGTATCTCAGACATAAATGTAAACAGAATAAAAAAATAATGAGAAAGAATCTAATTGATTTATGATGAATTTGGTGGAACTAATACATTCAGTTTAGTTGAAAACTGAAGAAATAGCAAAAAAGACAAACAGAGAGATAGGAATCCATCTCATTCAGCTCTCATGATCAGCTAGTATTATAATTTCCACTATCATTTTTCAGATCTTCTGTGCATCACCAGACACTTTGATGTGGTTTCCAAGCAATACAACTGTCACTCCCAAACTGGAACGTTTCGTCCAACCGGTACTAGGAGGAATTACAAACAGTAATAAAACTGTATATGTGGGAAGATTCACAACTGATGGATTGACATACGTGGGAAGCATTCATACTGACTACTACTTATATTACACGAAACAGACTGGAGATGGTGGATATGTTAACAAATATGAAATATTAATTCATGAACTTGGGAGTAACTGTTGAAATTTTTCTTTCCGGCAGTCAATTTCAGTATTTCAAGCATCGAAAGTATTAATTGTGATGAGAGTCATGAGTCAATTTTGTATAGTTAGTAATATTTTGAATGTTTCAAAGTTTATGTTATTTTATATTTCATCGGTATTTTCTTGTTACTATTTCGAAACGTGATCACATCACTTTTTTCGGAGCTGAATACAAAATAGAAAGATCCATGTTATGGATTGTTTCAGAAACAAACCCAATGAATGGAAATTTAGTAGTAAACTGGGGAAATATTAACAAAAGTTATTTTAATACGTAGGAATTCAAACACCAAATATTTGCAAAGATTACTAAATAAATGACAAGATTTCAATAAGAAAAATTTGACCTGATAGGCTGTGGAATTAAAAATATATTCAAATTTCCTGATTTTTTATTCCATAGAACTCAATTCTATAGCTGAGATACAAGAGATACAACAACAGTTGTCGATCGATATTGTGTTTTTCAGTTCTTAGTTTTCACAGTCAGTAGCTCAGCAATAAAGCAGAAACAATGAGCGCAAGATATTTGCTATAGCTTCTTTGCTTTCATTTATTCTAAGTTTGTAGCTGTTGCGAGTAATAATAAATCTAGTTCAGTGTTCGGTACTGAGATTTTTGCGCTACTACCGATAGGCGGGATTTTACTTGCTCGCAATCTTTGTTGAATCAAGATTTGCCGTTAGACGTTCTTTCATTGAAAAAGAAATATATACATCCATGGAAGATGGAAGATAACTTCCGCGATTTCAAAAGCACAATTTGATGGATCATCATAGCTGAAACAAACATTTAGTCAGGGCTGCTGAGTGGGAGTTCCTTCCACTAAGCAGATCTATAATACCAAACTTTGCGCGACTTAGATCGTTTCCCAACATGTATCGGTATTTCACTCAGTACTGAAATTAATTTGTGGCCAGAAAATCTCAATGGAGACTTTATTCATGAGTTCCTCAAATACACTTTCTGAGACTCCACTATAACAACTTGTCTGTCCAGTAGAATGATCCTCCAGCTCCCTTATTTTTTTTAATCCCACTATTTCCTTTATCCATTTCGCCTAAAAATATTCGTGGGTGCAGCTGTGACTCTCAGTGGCACTGGAAGAATAAAACCAACCATTTATTATCGTTGAATGATTTTAAACTTGATCCCTCAAGAGATAAAGATCTCTCACAATCATTCATGATAGAGTACACGCATGCTATTTGTTTGGAATTCGGAGTATATAAAGTGCAACAATTCAACATGAGGAAGAATAAACATGATGTTCAGCTCATATATAGAAACAGTCTAAGTCATCAGGATAATTTACAGACGTATACTTTCCTCAGAATAAAAGACGCTGTTTCCAGAAGATAACAGTAGTGAAAAAATTCTCTCCACAATATCCAACAGATAGATCTAGCCAATGGAACTCTCGGAGAAAAACGGAGCGAAAAACTATATTAATTCGACGTAAATTGATGTAACTTCTGTTATAGATTCGAAGAAGTCGAACTCCACATCTTTTGTGGAATAATATTTCCCTTTTCATGTCCTACCGGCTTGTATAATATTGCAGAAAGGTCATTCAATAAGATCAGACTGCTTTAGCAGTAGGTTGTGAAGGTGAAATGGAAATTTCGTAAAAGTTTGAAAATGATAATTGAATAATAAGGAAACAGGAATGCATCAATGTAAAAATGAAAATAATGGACTAAAAATTTAGTCAAACTCATTTATTAGGTGTCCAAAGATATGAATATTTCTAAAAACTAAAGGTCTACTTCCACTTAAAAAACTGTAAACTAACAAATTGATTCATTTTTGTATCTGATATTACAAAGCTATTTAAAAACTAGATGTTACTACAATAAATAACTGGAATACATCGACAATAGTGAATGAACAATAATATTTTAGTATACTATCTGAACAATTTATGTTGACTGATATTTCTTGTGAAGTTAATGAGACTTTCAAAGCCTACGTTGGTATATTTTAACGGTTATTTTATCTGATAAAGGAAATTATAATGTTGATAACATTGGTTGTATTTCTCGAATGTGTTTGTAAACCATCAAAAAACGTTGAGTTATCAAGTCATGGAGAGATTGAAAATGAATTGAACTTGTTACGAACTTATGATAATGCACCTGAATCTGATTGTACAATTAAAAAAATTGTTGAGAAGGCTGTTAAAAATGCAAGAAAAAAATATCACAAGATAACATCCCAATTGATGTATTATCTGTTTTTAATTGAAAATAAAACAATATTCAAGTTCAATATTCATCCAAACTGAAAAAATTATGGATGACTTTATCAGGAGTCATTTTTTTCATGAAAAATTACAATTTAAATGATGCACCGAACTTAATGCACAGAGAAATGGATGATTGATGAATGTTTCAATTACATAATTTCATTATCCATGTTCACCTATGACAAATTTATTATTCGAAGGTTGTAAGACTACAGAATTCATTTGTTTTTCTGAACTTCAGTTTTGATATTTTCTTCGGTGATCTTTTGTTTGCAAAAATTTGTAAATTTTGATATCCGAATTATTGATGAAATGGCCGCTCAATTCGTTCATTAATCAACTTATTATCTATTGATTCGAATTTTGAAAATTCGATTCAAATACAATTTGACCTTCAATAAATATTCAACCAATAATTTTTGAATCTCAATATTCCATTTCGAATTTATTGCTGTTCTGCAACTTTTGAGAATTTCTATTTTATTCATTACTTTCAACCACTTCTGAGGAAAATCTTCTGTTATAATGAATTTTTGAATCCATATATCAAGTTGTTCAGTCCAGGTGAATACAGAGAAAAGGGAAAATATTCATTACTTTTTTTTCAAATTTTAGGTGCAGTGTGAAAACTCCCTTGTGCATCATCATTGAGTTTTTGCCACTTATTCACATCGAAATATACTTCAAAAGACTTCTACCGACCAGCGGATGTAGCAATTACATAAAAATACTTTTATAGTTACAGCTTATTTCACAAATATACCTCTTAAATAGTAAAATACCTAATCTAAAATACTGTTGGACCCATTTATTTTCAATTATTCGTCAAATCAGATTCTTCTAAATGATAATGTAATAGATTATTCTGGAAAAATGTTAGAAAACTAAAAAAGTTTTTCAAGTTTTATGGAAATACTATCATAAGGTCTCTATGACAAGTATTTCAAAATTATGAAATCAAAATCTCCAAGTATGAGCTCAATGAGATCAATGAGAAAAAATGTTCGATTATGAGACCAATTTGTGAAAACGGAAAATCAAATCAAATGAAATCAATTGATGGGTTGAAAAATTCGTAGACTAACACACAGATGGCGATACTAGTATCGAATCCGCATGATTTTGAGTGAAGCAACTTTTGTTGGTTTCAAGAAAATGGAAAGAAAGGAATTTTGTGTGTTGATAAAAGTTCATTTTTGCAACAAAAAAACTGTTGAAGGCAAAGCTTGGCTTAATAAACGTTATTTGGACTCGTTATTTGGAAAATCGACCGTTGAAAAGTGGTTTGCTGAGTTTGAACAAAGTGAAATGACCACCAAAGACGATGCATGCAGTGGACGCCCCAAAAAGGATGTTACGAGGAAAACAATAAAAAAAGCTCACAAAATAATTTTGGATCACCGCAAAGTGGAGTTGATCGAGATGATCCTGAGCAGCGTTTGAAGTTGTTCCACCAAAAAAAAACTCGAATTCATGCGTCAATATGTGACATTGTATGAAACTTGAATTTAAAAGACAACACCACAGTAGTATAGCTAACGTGGTTCTAGATACGATGGTAACCATGCCATCGAATTTTCCATCGAGAGCGTTAAGGGTGTGGTTGTTTGGGGTGAAGAAGTGTGTCAAAAAGGCCTTGTTGGCGAAGAACAATGGTGGGTAGTGTTGACAATGTGAGAGTTCTTGAACAACCCTTGTTCTTGTAGATCGTCAATGACCAGAGGGTTGTTCTTGTAGATGGACAATGACCAGAGGGTGTTGTAAGAAGAAGAAGAGATGAAGCAGCCCTCAGCGGACCGGAGGGTGTAGGCTAACCTTGTTGAAGAGGGTCGTATTAGATACTTTTTGGCGCAGTGAACCCTCTTCGGTCAACCCTCTTCGGGCAACCCCTCTTCGGGCACCCCTCTTCGGGCAACCCCTTTTTCTGTAAACCATGAACCCTAGCGTACGCCAAAGTGTTTTATTCGCTGAATTTGTCAGTTCCAGCTGACCTTCAGATTACTTTGTTGCAGTTAATTAGGATAGTTTCGTTGCATTTTGTTGAAATATTTGTTATTTCACTGATAGAAAACCAGATTAGCTGACCTTAAGGTCATATGTATAGGTAAACATGAATACTTTGTTGCATTTCGCCCAATGTTTTTATAAAAAAAATAATATATACAGTTTATTGTATGATTTTCACTATAAAAGGGGTTTTACAAAAACCGCTACACGTGTTTCGCTATACAATAACTTATCTGTTTTAAAAAAATCTGTTTTTCCGTTATTTAGCTGTCGCCCCCATACGAACGACAACTCTCAGAAGTTGAGAAACTTGTGCGAGCTAAGGACTAACGAAGTCTTAGCTTCTAACGTGTGATTCCTAACACGGTTGCAGAATTATCCCCGCTGCTTGAAGAAGCTATTGTATAGCGAAACACGGGTCGCGGTTGTTGTAAAACCCCTTTTATAGTGAAAATCATACAATAAACTGTATTGATAAGTTTTTTAATATGGCTTTTCATCAACTATCGGCCAGTTCTATTCAATCAATGTTTTTATTGTACAAACGACAACACAGAGCTGCTTGCGCTGTCAACAGAAAAGCACTGTGCTTGTTGTGGTGGCGTCGCTGCTTCAATGATCAATTTTCTCATGTACACAGAAAATTCAAATCCCTCGCCGGTGTAGCCACGTGAGTGATGATCTGAGGTGCAAAAGCGTGCACTCTGGTTGGTTGTCTCCCTGTCCCGTTGGCAGGTTGTGTGGGATGGCGCTATAGCTGCTGTAACGACGTTACTACTTGAAGTATTTATTTTCGCAAGCCCACAGAAAATTTAAATCTTTCACCTGTATAGCCGCGTGAGTGGTCGTCAGAGATGCAAAAGCATGCACTCTGATTATTTGCCTCGTTGACAGGAGAGTGGGTTGTGTGCGCCTGTCAAATTCAAATCTCCCGCCTGGGTAGCCACGATGTTATGAGATGCAGAAGCGTGCGCTCTGATTGGCTGGCGAACTGGGTGACAGTTCAATGACACCACGTGACAATTTCGTACACTCTGATTGGCTGTTTCACTACCTAGCTAGCTGGGTAACAGTTTGAGAACCCCACATGGCAATTTGGTGCACTCTGGCTAGCTGGGTGGTCTGTCTGGTGAGCTGAGAGACAACTTAACTGGTGTGATGACGCTACTGTCTCGCGAACTGACGTAACATTTCACACCAGAATCACAAATTAAATATCAGAATCAAAACCATCGTCATCTGAATGGACTACAGGCGGTGAACCGACTCCAAAGCTTGCAAAGATGCCAAAGTCGGCTGGCGAGGTTATGGTATCGGCGCATGATGAAATATTGATATACTGTCTTGAAAAGGAGAGAATCATCAACAGCGACTATCACATGGCGTTATTGGAGCGGTTGAAGAAGGAAGTCGCGGAAAAATGGCCACATTTGAAGGAAAAGAAAGTGTTGTTTCATCAAGACAATACACCGTGTAACAAATCAATGGAAACGATGACAAAATTGCATGAATTGGGCTTCGAATTGCTCCCGCAACCACCATATTCTCCAGATCTGGGTCCGCGTGTTTTTCCTGTTCTTAGACCTCAATAGAATGCGCGCTGGAACAAAATTCAGCCCCTATGAAGGAGTAATCGTTGAAACTGAGGCCTATTTTGAAGTTAAAGACAAATCATAATATAAAAATGGTATCGAAAAATTGTGTGAACGCTGTAATTGTTGTATCGCCGTCGAAGGTGAATTTATTTAATAATTAGATCAAATAAAAAAAATCAAGAAGTTCTGCGAACTTTTTAGCCCAACAGTATGTTTCAGTACTCAGTATGTCCGTTAAAAACTTGTAATTTGGATCATATTTTGTTTGAACAGTGACTGAAATGTTCATCTACAAATATTGCTTTTCTACCCTGGAGTATGGTGAAACTGATTTGATCGAATATAAAACACACCTAAGGCACTTTACTTTCTCTTTGAACTCTCAATAGTTGATCTACAACATACTATATTGCAAACAGTTATTCCAAAACATTCAAACAAACAAACAAAATTCATAATTAGAACTAATTCCCACCCACACATGATTCATTCTGAAAATTATGGTTGCGCTTATTGATAATGTTATAATAAATAATGTAATTATTATTCAGTTATAGTTGAAAGAGGTTTACGAAATTGACTTAGTGAAAATTCTGGAAATGATCTACAAATTGAATGAGAAACTTATTATATACAGTATGTCCCTATTATGGTTGCCCCCAAACCTGGTGGTTTTTTTTGGGGAAAGTCCCGATACCTTCGAGAGGCCAAGATTTCTGTCTCAGTGCGGTATTATTATAGTTGAAATTTGTATTATCCTTGAGGATATTTTTTTAGCTCTCAGGTCTTAACAAGATTAACGTGACCTATTCAGAAAATTCAGTTAAATTGAATTTATATCGGGATAAATGCAGCTAAAATGTCTAATAGATGTTTCAATTGTTTTCTGACAGTGTCAGTGAAATCCTGAAAAAAATCAAGGGTGCTAAGTGACGGTTTTCAGATGCATTTGGAATGCCTAAATGTATTTTCGTTTGTATATAATCAAATCAAATTAAAATCAATAAAATAAAATACGACCTGATTGGCTGCCTACTGCGTAGATAGTTATTGATATAAAAACTCAAGTTGAACCATATTTTCTTAAAAGGAAGACATACTGTATACTTATTCGAGTGTTTTCATTTTCAATTAATTCTAAGATTGACTAATACTGGATTTTAAATCTATACAGGAAATGTATTGCCTGCACTTCAACATTCTTGAAAATTTTGGAAAAAGGCACAATTTATATGCTTGGTAGGACACTGAAATTGTATCTATTTGCTATTAGAATAGTAACAGCAATATGAGATATAGTGCGATCCAAAAATAACGGAAAAATTCATATTAATTCATTCTTAGCTTCATTATCTCCGGTTTCTGATTCTCTTTCATTCCTATGTTTGTACATTATTAGTTTTTTTGTTCAATAAAATTTGGTTGGTTTTCTTGTTCCATTTCCACTAACCCTTCTCCATTGTTAGTTTGGAAAGTCTATTTTTTCATTCTTACATTTTGATTTTCTTCTCATACTCTTTGCCTAACACTTTTTTTTCTCTTCTTTACTCATGACAATAATCATGTATACTATTCTGTTTTTCAATTCCAGCTTATTTTTCATAATATTTTTTGTGTTCTCGTTCCCAGTTGAATGAGACATGTCATCAGTTCTCTTGATTCATTGATTTTTATCTTCTTCTTATTTTTTTAACATTGCTTCGTGAGCAATTTGCCAGCCACCGATGATTTGAACCATCACCCTTCCCACAGGTATTTAGGTTGTCTAACTTGAAGTGGTTGCATAAACACTTTATTCAATTATTTACATCTGGAGAGCTATCCAAACTTGGTCATTTCATTTTTTTGACATATATCGAATTGCTTTTCGTTTCAATTAGTTCATTTGAAACTAAAAACTAAATTTCTGTGAAAGAAATCAACTCTCAATCAGCCGTCAATTCGAAGATTGTTACTATTTCAAGCAACCAGCAATGTTACTACATCAAGAAAGTGGATGACTCCTCATGGGATTATATTTGTAGGTGGTTTGACTTGTCAGAAGAATTCATTATGAAATTTGCCATTAGGCTGGATTGGACCATAGTTAGCGAGCGTTAGATGTTTACTTAAGTATAGTGTACTGCGTATAAAATGCGTACTGTACTGCATACAGTTTACTCAAGTATACTGTACGCACTATACTTAGTACATCGACAGTTGTACACTCCGTTCTAAAAACCTGAGTGGTTCTTGATAAAAATTTGTTCACTCTTCCATACAATGCCCTGTAAACTTCTTCGATTTTTATTTCGTGACTATAAAAGTATGATCCTGATCATAGGATGAAGTTATGTGAAATTATTCAGATGAAGAACTAGAGAGAGCCCATGTTTGAACCAAAAATATCTTCGAATCATCCGAAGTGGATTTTCTTCGAAAAATTATCTGGAAGATATCAGAACGTTGAAGGAACTGAATTTGAGCTCAAATAGTATTATTTCTTGGATAAGAATCGACGTATTTGGAAAAACCACAATGTGAGCAACATAATTCAAATAAATTGAAGGGATTATATTTTTAAGAGTGATCAATATTTTTGATAGAAAGAATTAGTATTGCTATTCAACGTGGTAATGCTGCTTCGGTCGGTGGAACTAGTCCTCCTTCACATAATTTTGGTGAGATCATGCATTGATCTCATTATACACGACACTCAAACATCTGCTCATGCGGCTGCAGTTTCATAAGAATGTATCACCTTTCCCTCCAACCAATTTTCTGGAGTCCACTAGATACTCGTTGGGACAACGAGAGGATTGTTCCGAATTCTTGGGGTTCTTGTTGAATACTCTTCGTGAGCAAAACAATAGCAGAATCAATACTCCTGACCGCTCTGGTTTGAATGATTTCATACAGTCCATCTCGTCTTGTGTTTGTAAATCTTTTGCTGGAAATATTCACACTTGTTTACTTTGTAGTGAATATTCAAGAGGTATAAAAACGTATGTGGAATTCTGGAACCTCAACTAGCGTTTCCTGATATGACTTATAACCAGTCTGTGCAAAACTGATGATCTTCAAACAAGACTCAACTTCTGACGGAAGCAAGAAATTGTTTGGCAGATTCGAAATAGGTGAACATTTCAATCTAGCAGACCAGTATTATAATATTCATGCAGTCATTGTTCACTATGGTTCTGGCGTTGAATTTGGTCATTAATACGCCTTGATCAAAGACGAAACGTACTGGTTTAAGTTTGACGATAGTCGTGTCAGTAAGTGTTCTGGCGATGTATTTAATTTATTGGAGCCTCTGGACACCCTACATTTCGATTCATGACATTGGCAGATCAAGATCTTCAGATGATGTGGTGCTACAGGTTTTTCCGGGTTTTCCTGCAGCTGAAAAAGCAAATGCGCCACTGGAATCAAAGAAGTCGCCCCGGAGCACCAAAATCTGGAACATAATTCCAGAGTTGAATACTTCAAACTGTCGAGTCTATAAACTGATAGCTCTCTAACACTGAGAAAGTTGTATCTAAAAAATAGTTTCGATAGTTTCAAAAATTTGGCTCTCCTTCGAATTCTTTTCCTGGCTCAATAACCAAGATATTGGCTTCATTTGTCTGCTTTCAACAATATCACCTGGGTACATCATCACTTCTCGAAATGAAGTACTGAAAGCACTTCATTTAAATATGTCCTTCCATATAATTCACTTCACTGTACATTGGTTGAGTCCTACCAGCAAATCCATTTTCAGTCTGTTTGGCTTTCAAATGACCATTTGCTAAGCCAGTCACGTGTCCATTTGCCATGCCATTTGCTATACCATTTGCCATACCATTAGCATAGCCATTTGCTACACTTTTCACACCATTCACAATAGCACGAGCAGTGCCATTAGTCATTGTATGGGCCACATCATTTGCCACCGTTTTGCTGATGGTCTCTATAGGTTCATCTTCCAAGTCTTCAAGTTCGGTGTCACCATTAGGGATGTGACCATTTGCGTGACCATTTGCGTGACCATTTGCATATCCATTTTGGATTGGTTTACTACTGATTGAGGATTGGTCGCTTGGCTTGGTATTGCCGTTTAGTATAGTGCCGTTCTCCAACGTAGTTGACTCGTTTGCCGACTGCATGTACTCAATATGCTCCTTGACGACTTTCTTGAAGTCCTCTTGAACTAGTTCGGAATCGGTGTCACCATCAACCTGAAATTATACTCAGTGAGATAAAATCATCTTATTATCATCTTCGCTGTTTATTGATTCAAAGAAATGAAAATGTTCACAAGATAGACCCTATGACTGACTGGGATGACTAAATATAATACAACTCAAATGAACTTGTGTTCCAACTTCAAAGGGCGCTGTTCTGACCCACCAAGGTCGCATCAGTAGTACTAGGCTGCACGACTCAACTGTTCAGAAACTGAAGGTGATGACATCTTCTCCGACGAAGCTTGACTACGCAACTGACCGCCTTAGGGAGCCTCGTTTATCTTTTGAATTAGAGGATTGCCGATCCCACAGGTAGCATATTAGTATGGGAAGATATCATAACCTTTACACGATATCCCTCAATTTGAATCACTCTATCAAATATTTTTCAGTTTGGTTTTTCAACTGACTTCCAACATTTTTCAATTTCTCTATTTGATACTCATGGACGAATTCAAGTTCAAAAATTCAATGGATGAATTATTGCCTCTGTTGACAATGAAATGAATAACCCATATTTAAATGAATTGTAACTGGAATTGATAACTGGAACTGGAAATTGAAACAGGGACAACAATTTGTTTGCTTTATTTTACCAAGATTTCAAAATTAGATAAGCTTAGATAAGCTGAAGAAATATCATTTCGAATTTCGAAAAAACTGTAGAACACTGAATATTTTCTTGTGATGCACTCTTCAGAACCTTCGGTGATAGTGATGAATATTACTGGAGGTTTTTTTCCCAACACCAAACCTTTATTTTAACACCTCGATACGTGCTTCAATCACCAAGTGATCATATTCAAGAGGAATATGAAGATGTGGTGACTAAAACACGTGTCGAGGTGTTAAAAATAGAGGTTTGGTGTTATGATAAAACTCATCTTCAAGAGAAAGATGAAGATCACACGTATCGAGACTTTCCTATTACTAAGAGGTCAAACATTATATACTAATTTTATACACTGTATAGTTATTCATTTTTTCATTTGTTATTGTTCTTGTTAGCTATGAAAATGAAAAACAACTGAGAGTAGGTTGTTGTGAACAAATACCAACATTTTTCAATTTCTCTATTTGATACTCATGGACGAATTCAATTTCGAAAATTCAATGGATGAATTATTGCTTCTGTTGACAATAAAATGAATAACCCATATTTAAATGAATTTTAACTGGAATTGATAACTGGAACTAGAAATTGAAACAGGGACAACAATTTGTTTGCTTCATTTTACCAAGATTTCAAAATTGGTCAGTTTCAGATAAGCTGAAGAAATATCATTTCGAATTTCGAAAAAACTGTCGAACGCTAAGAATATTTTCTTGTGATGCACAGTTTAGAACCTTCGGTGTTAGTAATGAATAGTACTGGAGGTTTTTTTTCCCAACACCAAACCGTATTTCAACACCTCGATACGTGTTTCAATCACCAAGTGATCATATTCAAGAGGAATATGATGTGCTGACTAAAACACGTGTCGAGCTGTTAAAAATAGCGGTTTGGTGTTATGATAAAACTCATCTTCAAGAGAAAGATGAAGATTATCATTTGGAGACTGAAACACGTGTCGGGGGTTTCCTATTACTGAGAGGTCAAACGTTATATAATAATTTTATACACTGTATAGTTATTTATTTTTTTAGTTGTTATTGTTCTTGTTAGCTATGAAAATGAAAAATAACTGAGAGTAGGTGGTTGTAAACAAATAGAGAAGAGTGTTTTTATCACTGATAGAAGATATATAGATAGATATAGATATAGATAGAAAATATACTTTACTTACGGTTTCGATACCTTAATTAATTAGTGTACCCTCGAGTCATTTTCCTGAACGAATTTGAGAATCTATTGCAATCCATGAATATTGTGAATATTCCAAGAAATATAAACGATGGAAAGTTATCAATATACTCACAATCGTCAGCCTTCCAACATTATCCATCAACTTGAGCATAGGCAAAGAGGATTTTCTAAAAATTTCCAGTCTTCTTCTAAAGGCAGTAACACTATCATCCAATCTCCCTCTTCCCAGTTGCAACTTGGAACAGTCAAGGAGGATTATTGTAGGTTTCTGTTTGAACTGAAAAAAAGTTCGTGGCATAAAATTATCTACAGTATTTGTGAAGAATTACAAAAATGTGGTTAACTTGCGGCGGTCGGGAAAAATATAATGAACTTGTACATAAAAAAGTGTTGATACTCATTTAGAAATGCCTCAAGAGTAATCTTTCAATATTTTCAAAGCAGAATAAATATAACTACTAGAAGAAATATTACATGAAAAAAATATTCTGAGTAACCTCATAATTCTGTTAGAAATCTGTTAAAAACTGTTTCTCCGTTACAACTGGCAGAAGTTGAAACTTGTACGAGCTGAGGACTGATGAGGTTTTACCTTTCAAGGTGTGAGTCCTAACTGATTCCTAACTGATAATAATAATAATATGAATCGACTATTCACCTTCCTAAAAGGTTTTGAAGATCATGCATTGGCCACCATATTCACCAGATTTGACCACCTGCGACTTTTTTCTGTTTCCAAGATTGGAGAGATCCATGGAAGAACAGCGCTGTTCGACGATTGAGGAGATAAAAATCGAATCGCTGAGAGCGAGGATTGGGAAAATGTTTGCACAAGTGTTTAAAATCTGTTTAAAATCTATGGTTCCGTTAATCAGCTTGCACAAGTGTATTAAAACTAACTGGACAGTTTCAATTCACGTTTTCTATTACATCAGTTCGGACTTCCATTGTCTAATATGATACAAAATGATTAGAAACCACTGAAAGTATCTATAAAAAATTAAAATTAACTTATAACACGAGATGAAAATTGAAAATCATTAACAAGAAATAGAAATTGAAAAATGAAAGATTTCAAGCCAAGTTAATTCACGACGTTTCGATTGTTAGTATCCAAAATCGTATTCGGGTGATAACTAGACTTATTCCTCTTAGATCTGACTATTTATAGGTCATTCGAGTGCTTTCACCTATCCCCTCTTTCCTCTCTACGCTTCATCAGTTTTAGCGGGAGCTGACCATTTGGCGGGAGTTGGTCGTGTTCCGCTTGACTATAGGTTTCCATATGTTGCGTATCTCTACGCTAGCTTGACTGAATGCGTTGTAGGACAACATATATGCGGCTTCTTTGAATTTTCCCCTAAACCAATGTTCCTCCTTTTGGATGATTTTCGCTTGAGAACACTTGATATTATGTTGATGAGTCCAAACATGTGTATGTTTCTTGTGCTCTGCAATGCGAACTTTCAATTGCCTCTTAGTTTCACCGATGTATGAGTCTCCGCACTCGCAGTATATCCGGTAAATGCAATTCTTGGAATCGCAGTCCGCGTTTAGTGGCCTGGTTTTCGTGAGGCTGCTGCGGATACTGTTACTAGATCTGAAGCAGGTTCTGATATTATACTTGAACCCAATACTTCCTATCCTTTCCGATAATCCTCTGATGTAGGGAAGTACAAATACTGGTTGTGGCGGCTTCTCTTGTGAAGCTCTTCCTGTTTTCCAGCCAAAGTCTGGTCCACCATCACTTTGGAGTAACCATTCCGTTGAAGGTAATTTTTGATCATGCCTAGTTTCTTTTCGAGACCTTCCTTTGTGTTACAGAGCCCAAAAGCACGGTCCAGTAGAGTCTTGATGTTTCCTCTCTTAGTCAATTGACGGTGGTTGGATTCCTGGATCAGATACTGTCCCGTATGAGTGAGTTTTCGTTATACAGATGTTTCCCATTTAGTGTCGGTTCTCTTCACCAAAACGTCTAAGAATGGCAATTCGTTGAGGACTTCCTTCTCCATTGTGAAAGTGATGGAAGGATCGTTATTGTTTTACGATGCATCTGTGAATCTGTCTCGAAGGATTTGGCGGAAATTGTTTCAGGACTATTACTCTTTTCATCCCCCCCATCAAACAGTCTTGGTAATGAGTGAATTTGTGTTATTCAAGATTCTTTTGTAATCATTTGCTCTTTCCGAAATAGTTTGAACATTTTTCTTTTGAGGACAATCCGATCGGTTCTAACATTTTTTTTTAACTTGGGTCACATCAGTCCCACTAAGTTCGAATCATCAATATATTCTGGTTGAATTGATGCAATGTGCCCGATATGTTTGCGCGATCAGCTAAAAAACTAATTCCCTATATTTGTATCACTCAGATATCCATTTGTCCTTCCATTCTCATACATTTCTCATACATTGGAAGGAATCGTTCGTCTATCATTTGTCACAACCCATTTGTGTAAATTGTTTTCTAGTCGATATTGCCATTGTAATAACCTTGAGGAGCATATGAATATTTTAAAGAAATTTAACGACTGATTTGAGAATTGTTCAAGTTCTAGAAGTCTACAAGCCGTACAATTATGACATCAACTCAATATTTTATGTTCACGGGAATTTACACCATATCATTAAAATATCAAAAGAATAGTTCTGTTCTGTGTTATTATTGACATAATGTATTAGGGCAAGGTCGATACCGTTTGGTTATTGATTGGGTTTTTTTATAAGAAATTGAAATTCACTCAGAATGAGACTGAAAAAGAAAAAACACCGTTTTGTTTCATTAATACCAAATTTTTCCTGCGTGTTTTGAGATTATCATGAAGAATATGAAGAAAAAACACTAGAAGTGAAGCACTGTCTCTCAATGGGCGTTTTGCTTACGAGTTATTGTTGAATCACATTGTGACAGAATTTGAGAATGTAGTCATGCCAGTACATCAAGCAACTGTCCATCCACAAAGTGACTGGGATATTTACACCCCCTATGCCCCTTGAGGACCCCGCTAACGAGCCATTAAAATAGTGAGTTGCTACAAACGACATCAAAAAAGGCGGCCGACGGTTAATATACAAATTTTCCAATGATATATTTTATATGATGCGAAGATAAATGGAATATCGTGAAAACTAATTTTGTTTGAATGTTTCATTTCGAGAAGGACAATTTATGTTTGAAATAGTTTTTCATTTAGGATTGTTAAGATGAAGAAGAACAAGGAGAACAAGAAGAAGAAAAAGAAGAACAAGACGAACAAGAACAAGAAGATCAAGAAGAAGAACAGGAAGAAGAATTTGAAAGTTAAGATTCGGACGATTAAATTTCACCACTTTTTTTTATCTTAAGTTGCTTTCATCTTTTGAATCTCTGTTAATATCCATTATTTTGCAATAGTTTCAAATTGAACCGGATCAAAACTGACCCGTGGAATGAGCCTACTAGGGAAATCATGTTAAACAAAACGTGCCAAGTACACTACCTCATAGGTGGCGTGGAAACGTGTGCATATTATAACGATTACAACTATTAGAACTTTTTGAGTCGTTATATCTTGAAAATCGCGAAAAACTAATTTTTTGGACCTTTGACCTTGAATAACATTTTTTCCATACAGGGGAAAGATGGAGAACTTTCAAATTTTATTTTCAATCATATTCTGAACAATCTTACTGATTTTCAGCTTGGTGAGAATTTAGGTAGCTTCGAATGTCTAAATTGACCGGACTATGCAATGTTTTCCAAATTTTGAAATGTAGGAGTTCTTGCAAACTGATAATGAAATGTCATGCCGATATAAAATTCCGCCATCTATTTTAAAAGTGCATACGAATATTTTTGTCTAGTATGGGGTGATTTATTAAGAGGCATAGGATTTGATTTTCAAAACAACAGAAAAAAAATTGAAATAATTGATGAAATCTTTATTGGAATCGATAGAACGATCAATATAATTCAATATTTGAAGATGATTTCATGCAAATGTTGTCCGTGGCTCCGCTTCAGGTGGCCCATACGCGTGCCGTGTGGCATGTGGCTCCGTCTTGTTGAAACCACATGTCCAATTCTTCTATTTTGGGCAACAAAAAGTCGTCATCACACGGTAGCGCTCTCCATTCACATTAACGTTCTGGCCATTGTCGTCTTTGAAGAAGTACGGCCCAAGGATGCCATCGACCCATAATCCACAACAAACAGTGACTTTTCGGGATGCATCGGTAGCTCTTGCAATGTTTGTGGCTGGTCTTCACTCCAGATGAGACAATTTCGCTTGTTAACGTATCCATTCAACCAGAAATGAGCCTCGTCGATCTTCCTCCAACTTTGCCAGCGCCCATTGTTAGACGTTGTGGGAGATCGTGCGGCTTCAATTCTTGCACCACTTGTATCTTATAAGGTTTTACACCCAAATCCTTTCGCAAAATTTTCCACGTAGTAGAGAAACAGAGGCTCAATTGCTGCGAACGGCGGCGAATCGACGTTTCACGGTCATCACAAACACTGGCGGAAACAGCCGCAATATTTTCTTCGGTCCTCACTCTTCGTAGGCGTGTTGGTGGTTTAATGTCCAATAATGTAAACTGGGTTCGAAATTCAGTAACAAGCTTCCGAATAGCTCTCTCAGTAGGCCGACGAAACTGCCCATAAATTGGAAGAAGTGCACGATGCACTTTCTACACCAAGCATGAAAAATAGACCAAACTGAACAAGTTTGACAATGACGCAAGACACGATTCACGCGTGATCTGTCAAAAACAGTGTTGCCAAAGAGATACCAGCAAAAAATCACTCATTACATTGCCATCGCGAAATTTGTTTATTAGCTCAAACACTAATCGTTCAAGTAACAAAGTCGAATTCACCGTCATACCATTTTGTACCCAAGCGGTGCGATTATCATCCTAGAATCAATACTCACCCTAAGTTCAAATTCGGAAACTTGAGCCATGTCTCTCGGAAACCCGTCCAGAATGATCCCTTTCTTACCAATATTTTCAGTCACATGTTTTTCCACGAATCTCATCACAACGTCCTGAGGAACCAATTCCCCGTTGCTGATTTATTCTGGAGAATATTCCCTGGAAGTGCTCCTGGCGAACCTTTGATATATTTTAAGAATATTCCTTGGGAATATTCTTGGAATATCTTATAATATTCTTAGAATATCTAAGGTATTGTTCTGAAGCCTACTCCGCCCACTGAAAAGAGACAAGTTTTTTTACTTTGAGGACGACTTGGAGAAATATTTTTGCACATAGTTCTCGATAGACTTCTTTTTGGCTCTTATTCTTAATGAACTGTTCTTTGATTTCATAATTCATCCTTTTTGTTTCCATTTTGCAAAACTTTCAAGCATTGTTTGTCCAATATTTCCATTTTTTTGTATTTTGAGATTGAAATTCGATTTTTTGAGCAATTTTTGTCTTTACTGTGGCTTTTGTAACAACCTGAGGAAGTGGCTTTGCCCATCTTCCATTTGTAGCTTTGTTATACAATTACTGTAATATAATAGTTAGTAAAACAAAGTGACCCCACTTCACGAGGAGACTACAAACCACCATCCGAAGGTACAAATTTTATTTAGGATATCATAAAATGGGTTATGTGAACATTATCAACTAAAATTTTAAAATTCGGCAATGTCACCTCAATTGACCGGTAACCTAACCTAACAAAATGAAAATGGCTAAATTAAGTATAATCTATATCAATTTTTTGCTGAAAAATATTGGCTATAATGAGCACGCGCTTAATTCTGAGCAATGATAGTCGTATATTGTCTTTTTTTCGTATTATCGTTTTCTCTTTAGAATCACTAGCTCTCTATTGAATGACATTGTAAAAAACTTCAGTTGGTATAAATCATCCACAGAAACAATTAGAATTATGTCAATACACCTTTCAACATATCCCAACACGATCATCTAATACAATTTTCATTTGTCATTGGTCATTTATATTCTTCATCCGATGTAGATATACGATGAAGTATGAATTTTGAAAACAGATCGTTTTCATTAACTACATGTATATGAATTTCTTGAAACTATCAAACTAACTCATTATTTCAATGAACAAAATGACCGTCAGGTCTTTCCATTTGTGCTTTGAATTTAATATTTACTCGAGCAATTTTATCATAAATCGACATGTATACCATAAATCTACAATCGATAAATGTGTTCATAAAGATATTAACCCCTACAATACAGCAGGAACAATAAAAACTATTGATATTCCATCATTGGTAGTTCATATTGTGTCTGTAATGAAGGTTTGAAAATACTCGATTTGATTTCATTAATATCAAAATACATGCTGCATGTATCGCCTCGTGTATCTTTGACATAAGCAGTATCTCGAAGTCTCTAGGAGGTTTTCATTCATTCCATGACAGTTTTCCAAAGTGTGTTGGTCTCTGAAATCGGATATGTACACCGTTTTCTTTGAGAAGAGTTTCAGTGAATCGTTCAATCTGACCAATATATTTTTGTCATGGCACCTACATCATATCTCATATGTATATTGAAGTTTTTTTTATTTTCATTATCTTATCTTTAGGGCTACCTTACACTTGTTGAAGTGAACAAGCAAGCAAGTTTTGGAAGTTAATTTGATGTCAGCTTTGGAAAATTTGATCCGAATTATTGGTGTATCTCAGTTCATAAGGAATAACAACACATTTGAACTCAGGGTCTTTATGAAAGATTCAAAGATTTACCGTAAAGAGCAGTCTATTAAGTCCGGCGGTGGCAAACTTTTTCATGGAAAATTTGGAAAACGATCATTGAAAATTATTTTGTGGATTTTTTTTTGTTTTCTGGTGTTACTGCCTCATTTTGGAGTCCACTGCGTTCTGCATCATCGGTGTCTCTACGACCACGTTTGAAGTCAGCAAACCACAGTTTGATTATTGTTTCTGATGGATCGGAGTCTTTATAACACTCTTCAAGCCATTGCTTCGCTTGAAAAGTATTTTTTCCCATCAAGAAGCAGTGTAAAATTGAAACTCGAAATGGTTTTTGATCCATAGTTTTGAAAATAACAAAAGAAGTGTCACTCTTAACGCAATAACTCACAAACTCATTAGTAGAATATAATGAAATGTCAACAGCTTTTTTTTGAAGGTTAGTACTAACTATTCTGTATCTGTAGAGTAGGGAGGGTGAGTGTAAGCCCCATTGTACATCCTCCCGAGGAGTTGTCCTCCTAGGTCATCGTCCATCCTGTCCTTTCCAGGAAGGTAGACAAGTCACTGGGAGACATCTCCTGTATATCGGCAGGTGTAGGCCAAGACTCGCCGAATACACACTCTCTTATTGACGATAACTCCGGGCAGTTGCATAGGACATGCTTGTCAGTCTCCTCTTCCTGTTCACACATTTTGCATAGAGGTGTGTTCACTAGCCCCATATCATGAAGGTGTTTCCTTAGTTGACAGTGGCCAGTCAGAAATCCTACTCTTAAGCGTAGATTTTTCCTGGTCATCGCCAGATATTTCTTCGGCGCCAGCTTCCCAGGGTCGCCCAAGGTGTTCCTGGCAAGATTGCATCTTTTGATTTCATCCCATCTCTTTAAGGGTTGAGCATGGGTGTAACATTTGGCTGGTTGCGCAATTGTCGAAGTCATCAGGCCGTAGGTGCCACTGGGTCCTAAAATTCTTAGTCCAGCCGCTTCTTTGGCTGAAGTATTGTCAATGCGATCACCTTTACTCCTGTCGTACCCTTTAACCCACCTCAGGATAATGTTATTGTCTACCAAGGATTTGGCTAAATCTTGGTGACACTAGTACTAGCCCTGAGGTTATACGTTGTCTATTCAAGGCTACTAGGGCTTGTCTGCTATCACTGCATATTATTATGTTTTTTCCAGAAATTCCTTTCCTGGTTATTTCTTTTGTGGCGATTGAGATACCAGCCAGTTATGTTTGGACCACGCTGGTATTTCTTCCCATTCCTCACTTAATCCTTAGGCTTAGTGATCTGGAGTACACTCCACATCCTTGAGTCTTGAGCCATCTGTATATATGCGTATTGCATTTGTAGCATCTGACTCTGGGTTCTGTTCAAATTGTATTTTGTAGGGTTTATCAAACACAAACCTGAATTCAATTGCATCACTGGTTGCCTGCAGCAGAGGTTGCGCAGTAGGCGCTTCCCGCCATAGGCCCAGCCTCAGTTGACCCATTCCTACTTCGAGGTTTACACTAGCCGTGCGCAATCGTACCATGGCCATTAACGCAACCTCCTTAACGTACAGGCCCAGAAGGGTCAGACTAGTAATTAATTCCATTGCCGCGGTTGGTGTTCTCATGGCTCCTGTGATGTTTAAACAAGTCAGTCGCTGTATTCGATATAATTTTTGGATGGCCGTTGCTTGTAGAAATTTCGGTCTCTATACAATGGCTCAGTACGTTAACATAGGTTTTATTATTGCAGTGTAGATCCAGGTGACCACACGGGGTGAAAGACCCCATGCGCGTCCCACTGTCCTACGACACTGCTCATAAGCCACAAATGCTCTTTTTGCTCTTCTCTGTAGGTGAGAGTTCCATGTTAGCTTCCTGTCGAGGATACTATCTATTTTATTATTATTTTCTATGTGTTATTTCCGAGACTTTTTAGTCCAGGTAGTATCTAACAGCAATCTACTGTAAGACAAATACTCAGCTCATTAGCTTACTACAGAAAAACCCTAAAAAAATCTGTTTAAAATCTGTTTTTAATCTGTTTTTCTGTTAATCAGCTGTCGCCCCAATAAGAACGACTACTCTCAGAAGTTGAGGAACTTGTGCGAGATACGAAGTAACGAGGTCTTACCTTTCAACGTGTGATTCCCAAAACAATAAGTGTGATTTATGCCGAAAATAAGCATTGATGTGAATCCATTATGCTCTTGCTTTCCTCGAATGTTTCGTTTTCAACCAACATAACAGTGCTTCTAGCTACACTCAATGAAAAAATATAACATAATTCAAAAATTCACAATTAAATCTAAAATATCAATATAAAATGTAGTAACTCGATTGATTCGAAAATTCTGTGGCAAAATAAACTTCGGTTTGATGCCGGGTGGGGTGGGGTTATAAAAAAGTTATTCCGAGTTCCTCGATGATAACTCTTTTGCGCAGCAGCCTGAAGCTGGGTTTTTCTTCATGTTCATATATATGGTCATCAAATCGTAGTTTCTCATCAATGTATAAAACTAAGAATTTTATGCAGGGTCAAACTTTCATAATTGAACTTGATGGTCAGGGTGTTGGTTTTATTTCCATTGGAACAAAGATAATTCAGCGCAACAATTATCACACTCATTTTTTCAAGAACAAAACACAAGCACTACAGAAAAATCCTTGAGGCGATCTCAGAGCGGTACCTGTGCGAAAGTAGCCATTAACATTGGATTTGAATCGCTGGAGACTGAATATATTTGAAAAAACATTCTCAGGAAGTTCATTCCACATGAACGCAGTTCTCCAGATAAAAGAGTTATTGAACAGTGGAGTTCGAGGTGTACTGAGTTGAACCTCAAAACGATGAGCAGCCACACTCCGTCGCGTATTTCTGATATGTACTGCTCTAGGTGAAATCAAATGTGCCAAGTCACTTGAACACCTCCCGTGAAAGTATCCGGAGAAGAGAGACGAATCTCCACCTTTCTTCGATGTTCCAGGCTATCAAGGTTGCACGTGATGTTCGTGCCTCCAATCAGGCGGATGGCTCTTTTCTGGATGGAATCCAGCAACTACAGGGTATGTTTGGGGTCAGAGCGCCATACATGGGAACAATACTCCTTAGAAGGTCTGATCTGAGCTTTATAAAGTATCAAAAGTTGCTGAAGTGTGTACAGTTTTTTGGTTCGGAACAGTGTTCCAAGCTCTTGAGAAGCAGTCTTTACAATTCCAGCGACATGATTGTGCCAAGACGTATCGGTGTCCATTTCAACCCCCAACAAACTTATCGAAGCAGAAAGCGGAATTTTCTGACATTGTTATATTCAGTTTGGAGATATTTATCTTCTTGGAGAAAACCGATGCCTGGGTTTTTG